ATATTGGAAGACTTTCATGTTATAAAACAAAGTTTGGCAAACTATTCTCATAGTCAAATATGGGTCCTAATGCCACTTTATTTCCTTCTTTTTTTCCCCTAATCTTTTTATTTTTTATTTATTTTTTTTTAAAGAGGCACTAGACTTGGGACATTTTATTTTATTTATTTATATTTGTTTGTTTGTTTGTTTATACATGCACTGGGTACAGTCAGAAGTGCGGGAGGGTGAGAGAATTCACCAGAGCCAGAGCAGGGAGCAGAGCAGGCAGAAGGACCAAAGTACACTGCTGAGGGGAGCAGCGGGCAGCTGCGGGCAGCTTCGCAACCCAGCGCTCAACTGCTGCACCACCGGGGAGGCCCACCCCTAATCTTTTTAAAAGATGAGTAAGGAGAAGAGAAGGAAGAAGAACAAGAACATGTGCAAAGACCATATGATGTATACAATATCTAAAATGTTTATTAGTTTTCTAGGGTTGCTATAAAGAAGTTATCATTATTGGTATAATGAATATTATGAGGATTAAGCAATTTTTTTTCATAGTTCTAGAGGTCAGAATTTAACATGCAGATTTTGGTGGGGGGGTAATTTCTTCTGAGGCCTCTCTTCTTGGATTCTAATTAACTGTCTTCTCCCTTTTTCTTCAATATCTGTCCCTTTGTATATATCCGTGTCCAAATATCCTCTTTTAAGAATACTGGATTAGAACTCACACTAATTGACCTCATTTTAAATTAATCATCTCTCTTAAAAAAACTCCATCTCCAAATTTGGTCAGTTTTAGGTGCTAGGAACTGGAACTTAAGCATATGAATTGTGGGTGAGGGACATAATTGAGTCCATAACTTATACTATCTAACCTTTTACAATATGAGATTTGGGAGGCCCCTAAAAGTAGTCTCATAATGAGACAACAGAAAAGACTATATCAGCTGTTGGACTAGAAGTGATTATGCTACAATATAAACAAAAATATCTACTACCATTTTTGAGTGTTTTTATGAAAAAAACATATGCAATAGAACTTGAGTATATTTTGTCATTCATTATATGCTATCTTATGAATATTATTACTTCCATACATACTACACACACATTTACAGATTAGAAAACAGAGTTGGAATTAGAACCTCAGTTCTAAATATCTCAAAATTTGGAGTAATAAAAAAAAACAAGAACTTCAAGAATCTTTGGGAAAATGAAGTAAAAATCCTAAGCCTTCTCCTTAGTGTGAGTAGACACATTCATAGGTTTAAGAAAGAATTGGCACTGACAATAAACACTGACTCAAAAAGAAATGGCTTTTCAGAATGTACTTACTTTTTTGTTAAAATTTTGATTGAGTTGGAATGTGGTAGATACTTTCCTACAGTACATTGCAAGACAATTGCTTGATAGTTTCCCTTTATAAAGAAGACTTTTGTTTCCAAATTTCAATACAAGTATCTATAAAACCAATATGTGCTATGATAAAGTTACCTCCCATGTAACTCAGAATATTAAAAAAGGTTTTCTGTAGATGCTTAACTCAATATGAGATGGATCTGAGAAATCGAGATTCAGAATTTCTCAGCAGTCTTGTGACCTAAAGAAACAGCTTTGCACTTGAATTTGCATACTATTTTTGTAAAGATTCAAACTCTCAGTTAAGGTCAACATCTGGCTGGATTTAACATTCATGTTAGACAGTTTCACTCTCGTTAAATGTGCTTAGAGTTTTTTCAAAGCCAAAGCTGTTTTTTATTTTAATAAAAGTTTTCATATATTTGTTTTTTTGAGAGGCAGATTTGTATGCTTGCACTAATCTTTACAGTTGAAATTTGGGTCTATCATATTAGACAAACCACTACCACAAAACAAAATGCAAACATAAGGGGCAAAGAGCAGAAAATAATGAACAAGAGGATTTGAAGTCTTGCATATCTTCTGCAAAAAAGGGAAAATGTGGAAATAAGATCTGCATTCCCTGGTAAGTTATAATTGATAATTTAGCTATTTGATAGACATAGATAATATGTCAAGTAATTTCTCAAACTAATTTTAATTTCCAATTTCATCTATGCTTGGGTAATCTTTAGTCTTCTGTGGATTCTTCAGAATCAAGCAATAACTATGTGCTTTATACATTCCTTTTATTACTGAAAATGTTGGATAAATCAATCTATGATAATATATCTATACATACACACATATGTTGTGTGTATGTATACACACATATGTTGTGTGTATGTATAATTGAAGGAAAACAGGAGTCAAGGTGGTGTGAACTGGAACATTGTATAAGTGAAGCTCTATGATAAAACACATTCAAAAATAAGTACTATTCAATAAGCATATGTTGTATGCAAGTTATGTGTTGGTTACTTAATGTGCATGATATCCACTGAGACATAAGAATTTAAAAAGAAGAAACCATACACAATTGATAGGACAGAGTTATGGAGGAAATCTATTAATTTATATAAATTGCTTAACTGACTTAAATCTCAATTTTTTTACCCCCCCCCCAGGCCAATGATCTGTCTACTGTAATACTTTGAATATAGCAGAATTAGAGAAGAATTTGAAAACAAATGATCAGTCTGGGGTCCTCAGAAAACCTGAATGCAAATCATTGACTGAATATAGGACATTTCATCTTTTACATAGGAATAAGTAGTCTCTTTAGTGACTTAATTGCCATAATTGCCTTCCTTTGTGGGCACCAATTAGAAGTCCTGAAATATTAATAAACTGGTCAATTTAGGAGAAAATACCATCCCATGTTTTCTTCCTAAATAATGCTTTGAAGTGCCAAACCTATGGGCACTCAATAAATATTAAATATTTAACAGCAACTAGTAAAATGAAATTATGGTAATATATTTTGCAATGAAATCACCATAAGATGAAGTAAAACAACTTTTAGCACTAGACCTGAAAGCTAAGCAGATTTAGACAGCTATAGTTGGATAAGTGAATGAACTCTAAGAAGACTCCAGACACTAACATGACTGTGGTCAGAAAGGTTAATAAGAGGTCACAAAGATTAAAAAAAAAGTCAATTTGACAACAGAAACTGCCCCTCTGAATTTCATATCTATTCTATTCTTCTAATATCCAAAATGTAAATGAAGATATATTACTAAACTGCTCTTTTAACTGCCCGATGTCCAAATATGGAGTGACTATATACATTACTTAATGGTATTAACTTAATTTGAAAGAACAGAAAATATCTTCCCTGAAGTTATGCACCTGTTTTTTCTATGTGCCCTCTTTTGCACAGTCTGAGATTTTCAGAGGATCCAATTGTAATAAAATAAATAAATAAAGAATGTTAATCACTTTTCCTCTGGCATTCATAAGTCATTGAATTGTAAAACTCTGAGTCACTCAGGAGTGCATGCAGTGTCTAAGAACACACTTCTGTAGATTTAAATTAGAGCTGAGAGTTACTGGGGGAGAAACCAGGCTGGGAGCAAGCTTACTTAAGTGAGTGGAAGGAAAAATGTTCCATAAAGGAGAGAAAAGGCCTGTCAAATGGAGGAATCCATAGGGAAACCTTTTTTTAAGCTCCTGTTCGTCAATTTTATAGAGTCATGAAAAAAGAAGTACTTAAAAGTACTCTTTGAGGACTCTATTCTCCTTTTTTTTTTTTTTTTTTTTTTTTTTTGCTTTTTATAATCCCTCTGAGGATAAGAAAAAATGCACTTAAAGTTACCATTGGGTGACTCAATCCTTCCTCTCCCTCTTCTTAATTCCTCTAACAGTCTTTCAAATGCTCCAAAGAAATTAGAACACATTTAACAAGTGCTCTCAGGAAGCTCAGTCACCATTTCCTCTCCCAAGCCTGTGATTAACCCACTGATGGGTCCACAAACTCTGTGTTCCAGTCCAAAAACAGCAGCAGGTACACCATGCTCCAGGTCAAATATACCTGCTATTCTACCCATTCTAATAGGTATTTTTAAAGTGGAAAAATACTACCACCAGGATAAATTTCAGAGACTCTCCACACAATAATAAAATATTTTAAAGCATGAAAAGCCTTAATATCATAATTTTTAAAATTCTTTAATTTTCAGGAATTCTTTGTAATTACTACTGTGTTTTGTCCTACAACTCCATTCACATGTTGACACAAACTAGCCCCTTACAATACACATCTTTAATTTTCAGGAACCAGGCACAGACATAGAAGTCATACCTTCTTATTCTAATATAAATAAGTATAATAAGATAAATTTCAGTTTAGGATAAGACTTTCTCCATCTTCATTAGTTCAGTTAGTATTCATAAGTTTGTCAGCTTTTAACATTTTACTTTGCTAAATAGTTTCACGTACTTCTATAGATATACTGAGGTTTTTCACTTCAAAGAACAAAGTTGAATAATAAATTTTATGGTATGTATATTTAACAAAAACTGCAGCACTTACTTTAATAAAAGTCTTCAGAATTCAAAAACAAAGCTCTATAAGATCAACAAAATACACTGATAAAATATTCTCAAAAAGAAGTCCTTTGAAGTTTCTTTAAATACTTTTGTCATCTATATATTTATTTACCATAAACAAATGTGACACCAAAATTAACAGCATTTGAAACAAAGTTTGTATTTGAGGATATATGGAGAAGATATCATGCTTGTGTAAAAAAAGATTAAAAACCTACAGAAATCAGAGTTTCCAAAGTCTGTATTTCCCTTCATTATGTGTTGCAGCTACAAAAGAAAATCCTCAAGAGAATTAATATGAACTTATGATAATGCAGCCTGCAGCACGGTTTTGTTTTGGTTTTGCCTGTTTTTGCTGACAATGCATTCAAACTCTACCTTACTAATCTTTAGTAAAGGAACCAGATTATTTCACCTATAAACATGCAGTAATAAAGTGTCAGTCTTCAGTCAATACTGACTACTTAACATCTTTCTCTTTTTTACAGGTTTGGATCCCCAGCTCATTAGATCATTACCTGATAAATAGGAGAGGGTAATGAATTGAGAAAATAACTACGTACCTTCAGAGAAAACCTGCCCGATAACAATAATCCATTAGAAAACTGGCAATATCCTCTGATCTATTGCCCGCAAAGCTATGACTTGATGGAGAGTTTCATTCCCTGGGCTCAGTTCTCCAGAAGAAAATCAGCACAATTTAAATATTTCTTGGAATGTGACAGCTCTCTAGATCCCCGGTTGCATTCTGTTCCCCAGGGATGGCAATCTGGTGTTCCTGTGTGCATAGAGCAGTGAAGATGAATTGAAAACGCTTGAGATAAATTAGGAATGGCTAAGTTAAAATTGTCTCTGCTCCAGACTCTCTCATCTGCAGTCTGTAAGCCTGTTTTTCTGTGAAAAAGCTAGATGGCAGGCTGCCTCAGTAAGTTCTTCTTAAGCGACACAGAGCATTTTCAATGAAGAAAAATTCTCCCATTATCTAAGCTAATGTGACTGGTGCTAAATCCAGTTTTTAAAGTGTCTACTGGCATGAAATTCATTTTCACTATTGCTTTCTTTCAAACTACAGTCTAGAATCCATACTATTATGCTATATACATTTCTATCAGAGAGAAACATTTCAAGTTTTCAGCTAACAGAATAAATTGTACCTCTTTTTTTTGCAGTTTTAGCATTCACTTATATGTAGGAAATTTCCTCTTTAGGCACAAAAGCAATTTTATAATATGTAGGTTTTGTTTTTAATTACAGGATTCAATATTAATGATTGCAATTTTTTACAATCACTTATTTTAATGCAGTTCCATGCAGAAGTGCTAATTTTAAGTTATTTAAAATACAAAAGTTACTTAAAAATAGAAAAAGGAATATCAAATTTCATATGTAACCACAGAAGTAAATATTGACATTCCATATCCTCCTAAAAGAATGTTCCAAATGAAATCAAACTTTACAAATTATTACAAATAAAAACAAATTATTTTTGAATGCTGTTTATGCTGAATAATACATTGTGATATGATAAAATCCTCTCAATTAGGAAAATTTTCAGAATTTTAATAAGTCTTAATAGTACACTTTATTTGGTGTATTGACACGACACAAAACACAGGTTAGCAACACTTTCAGGTATTTTTATTTACTTGGATTTTTTCATATGAAGAAATTCTTATATTATGAGGACATTTAAAACATTTAAATCCATAAGTACATGTACATTTTAAAAATGCTAGCTAGGTCCTCCCTGGTAGTGCAAGGGGTACATCTCAGCACTATGATGCTATCGCTGCCACTGCAGCACCAGGTCCATCCCTGGCCAGGGAGGTAATCCACATGGTGCAGCAGACCTCTGCTGTCTTGCCTGCTGCTCCCTCAGCAGTATATTTCAGTAAATCTCCCTGTTCCTCTCCCCACTCTGTCTCTGGTGAATCCTCTCACCCACCTGTATCTCTGGCCTACACCCCAGCTCTTATATGCATAAATAAATAAATCCTTTTTTAAAATGCTGGCTGGCTAAAAAAACCCCAATCTTATCTTTCCACACCTTTCACATGGCCTTCTACATTATTATGGCTGAATATTGATGTTTAAATGATGTTATTTCCACAATAGCAATGGGATTATTTTGTGAGTAAAGCAAATGCAATGTAATCACTTGGGAGTCAACAGAAAAAGTAAGTCAATATTCTTGTTTTCCTCCATCTACCCACTAATGGTGTCTAGTCATCTTACTCCTGGTGTAGAGGGAAATGAAATAGGAGAGACAAAACTACACAGCAAATGTCTCCGGTTCCTGCCCCTCCACAGAAGTGGTAATGTGTGACCATTGTTGGGAAAGAAACATTGGCAAGAAGGGACTTTAGCACTCCTAGCAAATCATCAAAGACAATGAGAGAAAAAGGATAGTAGTGGAAGATGGAAAGAAGGCCAATTGATGGACAATTTCATTTGCATATTCTCTTCAACAAACATGATGCAAAAATTAAGTTATAAAAGGGATTCTATTTGATTGGCATTGTATATAGCAATTAGATATACACAGAATTTTTTTTTAATTTTCACTGTTAAATTCATGCTTTCTGTAAGCTTATTATAAAAGATCTTTTTTCAAGTTATAATTTCAACCAAAATAATAAAAGGCCTAATATACTGTAAAAATAACCTTATCATTCAAAATTTATTTTATTAGAAATGATCACAAAAGAGAATTATTTCTTTAGCCACTATATATGTGACTTTTGAAATAATTTACTTTTCTTTTAGTTTGATTTTATAATAGCAGTAACATTTCATATATGTGGCATATTTTATAGTAAAATCAATTCAACATTTATAAATTTTTAAATTTTAATACTTACCCTTAAAATGTTATTAGGGTGACTGATTTTGCAACATAGAGGGTTGTTGCCACTTATGAAATTAAGAAATAATAAATATAGACATAGCATATTTCTTATGTATAAAATACATAAGTCTAGAAGACAGGAAATACTTATATGAGCTTTAATAAAAACTAAGTTATATAGAACATCTTTCTAAACCTTCACTATTGCATGAAGATAAATACAGACTTGTACTAAAGCATATAATAAATATTTAAATAGAAATAGAATATAGAATATTTAATAGAATAGAATATTTAATAGAATAGAATATTTAAATAAAACCTAACCAAAGAAGTGAAAGATTTAAATGCTGAAAACAAAACCAAAACATTACTGAAAAAAATTAAAGACATAAGTTAATGGAAATACATATGTTGCACATAGATTGGAATACTTAAAATTGCTAGAAGGTCTATACTACCCACAACAATCTACACATCATCAATGCAACCCCTATCAAAATCCCAGAAGTGATTTTTACAGAAATAGAAAAATTCATGCTAAAGCTCACATAGATTCTCAAGTCATCTCAAGGAAGTCTAAAAAACCTAAAACTCAAAATTGTAGATCTCTACTTTCTGATTTCAAAATGTAATAAAAATCCAGTTATCAAAACAGTGTGGCATGGGCATAAAGACAGACAGACAGAACAATGGAAGGGCAGAGAGCATAGAAATAAAAACCTACATAAATACTCAAATGATTTTGATAAGTGTGCAATGATCATTCAATGGTGAAAAGATAGTCTTTCCAACAATTGACATTGGGAGAATTGGATGTCTATAACCAAAATAAAGAAGGTAAACACTTACACCATAAACAAAAATCACCTCAAAATGTATTGAAGATCTAAATGTTAAAAGCTAACACTGTAAGACTGTTGCAATAACACATAGGGGAAAACCACATGATATTGAGTTTAACCATGATTCTTGGATGAGGCACCAAAAACATAACCAATAATATAAAATAAATTGTACGTCATCAAAATTAGAAATGGCTGTGCATCAAACAACAACAGAATGAAAAAGCAACTCACAGAGCAGTAGAAAATAATTAAAAGTAATGTATTTGCTAAGGGGGTAATATTTAGAATATATAAAGAGTTCCTACTACTCAACAACAACACCAAAAAAACCCACAAATGACCCAATTTAGAAATAGGCAAAGGAACTGAATAGATATTTCTCTAAAGAAGATATAGAAATGGTCACTAAGGACATCCTAAGATGTTCAACATCACTAATCATATGGAAATTCAAATCAAAACCACAACTGAGATAGCATCTCACACTCATTAGGAAAACTACCATCAGGAAATAAAAATTAAAAAAATATAACAAGTGCTAAAATATGTGGACAGATTCAAACACACACATTGCTAATGGGCATGCAAAACTGGGGAATCTACAGGAGATATAGAATGGTAGATCCTCAAAAAAAATTTTAAATAGAATTACCAAACAAGCAACTTTTCTTCTGCATATACACACAAAAGTACTGAAAGGGACTCAAACATATGTATGTGTTCAAAGCAACATTATTCACAATAGCCAAACAGAGGAGGAATAGAAGAAATTATATAAGGACAAATGAATAAACAAAATGTAAAATAGATAAGCAATGAAGAATTATTATTCAGAATTTAAAAGGTAATTCTGATACATTCTACATTATGAATGAACCTTGAAGACATTATGCTAAGTGAAATAGACTGAGCACAAAAAGACAAATACTGTAATATACAGGGTTCTTAAAGTAGTCAAACTCATAAAGACAGAGTAGACTGTTGGTCAGGGACTGAGGGATAGGAGAAATGGGGAATTAATATTTAATGGGTATGCAGTTTCAATTTAGGAAGATGAAAAATATCTGAAGATGAATAGTGGTGCTATTACATGATTATGCGATTGTATTAATATCACTGAAATGTACACTTAAAAATAGTTAAAACAGGGCTTCCCCTGGTGGCTCAGCAGTTGAGCGCTGGGCTGCGAGGCTGCTCGCAGCCTCTGCAGCGTTGGTTCACTCCCCGGCCACCGGCAAGGGTCCCACAAAATAAATAAATAAATAAATAAATAAATAATAAGTAAGTAAGTAAATAAATAAATGTTAAAATAGGACCTCCCCTAGTGGCGTGGGTGGTTAAGCACAGCACTGTGAGGCTGTTGCAGCCTCTGCAGGGCTGGTTCCATCCCAGCCTGCCGGTTAGGGTCCCACACTGCGCCGCAGACCTCTCCTGTTGAGCCCGCTGCTCCCCTCAGCAGTGTATTTCATCAGTCTGCCTGCTCTGTTCCCCACTCTGTCTCTGGTGAATCCTCTCACCCTCTAGTGAATCTGGCCTGTACCCTGGTTCTTGTATAAATAAATAAATAAATCTTTAAAAAAATAGTTAAAACAGTACATTTTAGGTTATGTATATTTTAGTACCAAAAAATATGCCCAAAAGTCAATATTAAGTCATTGCCGATCTGTGAAAAAAGTGTCAAAGAGGTGAAAATTTCTAAGCATTTTCATAAGTGTGAGATAAGTTAAAATTAAAAGCCTGACTGTACATGCTGATTTCTGCTTGACATAGTAAGTGATCTGAAAAAAAGTCATGATTTTAAGTTAGGATAGCTCTCAATATTATTTATTACTATTTCACCTTAAAATAATTATTGGGTGAAGAATATAGATATCTAACTTCAAACACAAATTTTATTTCTTATTTTATTTCATATTCATTATAAAAAAATTTGAATACAAGTTTTGAAGAAAAAAATAAGATGCACAAATTCCATCATAGTGAAAACCTTAAGGATATATCCCTCTCTTCAATCTCTCATTAATGTGTATATATATATATATATCATACACATATATCATATATATGTGTATATATATCATA